GCCCTGCATTCCTTGCGTTGAGGGGCGGCAGCGCGCCGCTCCTCACTCCTCCTCATTCCCTCCCACAGAGGCTCCACTGCAGACTCTCCACCTGGACATGTGGGGCCCAGCCCGCGTCCGTGGACAGGGCCACGAGCGGTACTTCCTGCTTGTAGTCAACGACTACACCCGTTACACCACGGTCTTCCCCTTGCAGTGCAAGGGGATGTCCCTGATGTTTTGATCCCTTGGATCCGCGCTGTGTGTCTCCAGCTCCGCGAGCGGTTCCACTCGGACTTTCCTGTCCTACGTCTGCACTACGACAGAGGTGGTGAGTTCACCTCCGACCTCCTGCGAGCCTACTGTGAGGAGCACGTCATCCGCCAGACGTTCACGCTTCCGGCCTCTCCGCAGCAGAATGGGGTTGCTGAGCGCCGCATTGGCTTAGTCATGGAGGTCGCTCGTACCTCCATGATCCATGCGGCTGCCCCCCATTTTCTGTGGCCGTTTGCGGTCCGGTACGCCGCGCATCAGCTCAACCTCTGGCCCCGTGTCTCTGTGCCGGAGACTTCGCCCACACTGCGTTGGACGGGGGAGGTTGGCGATGCGTCGCGTTTCCGGGTCTGGGGTGCTCGTGCCTTCGTCCGCGATACCAGTGCGGACAAGCTCTCCCCTCGCGCCATTCCCTGCGTCTTCCTTGGCTTTGTCCCTGACGCGCCTGGCTGGCAGTTTTATGACCCCGCCTCGCGCCGTGTCTTTGCGTCTCAAGACGTCACCTTTGACGAGTCGGTCCCCTTTTACCGTCTCTTTCCCTTCCACACTGCCTCTCTCCCCCCCCCGCCGCTCTTTCTCGCTCCAGGTCCTCCCCACGTAGATCCCCTCCCCGCTCCAGGTCCTGCTCCTTCAGGTGTGTCTCAGGTAGACCCTCCTCCCTTGACTGAGCCGGTCGAGGTCACTGGTGACTCAGGTCCTGCTGGGGGTGGTCCTGCTCAGGGTGCTGCTTCTGGGGGTGCTGAGCCTGGGGGTGTGGAGCCTGGGGTGCGGAGCCTGGGGGTGCTGAGCCTGGGGGTGTGGAGCCTGGAGGTGCTGAGCCTGGGGGTGCGGAGCCTGGGGGTGCTGAGCCTGGGGGTGTGGAGCCTGGAGGTGCTGAGCCTGAGCGTGAGGAGCCTGGGGGTGCTGAGCCTGAGGGTGCGGAGTCTGGGGGTGCTGAGCCTGAGGGTGCGGAGTCTGGGGGTGCTGCGCCTGGGGGTACTGAGTCTTGGGGTACTGCGACTGGGGGCACTGAGGCGCCTGGTGTGCAGTCTCCTTGGAGCGGCCGCCTCCGTAGTCGCTCCACTGGTGCCGCGTCGCAGCTCTCTAGTCGGTGTCTCCCTCTCTCCCCACAGCAGCTGCGTGAGTGGTAGGTTAGCCGTCAGGGTCGTGCTGCTGGAGCTGGGGGCCCTGCTGCGGCCGGCGCTGGCGATGGAGACACTGGAGCTGGTGACTTAGCTACTGGAGGCGCTTCTCCTGGAGTTTTTGGAGCAGCTGGTCCCGGAGGTGCTCGTAGTGGAGGTACTGGAGCTACTGGGGCTGGTGGTTCTGCTGAGTCTGGGGGTGCTGCTGCTGGTGGCGCTGGTACTGGAGGTACTGGCGCTGGAGGTTGTGGAGCTCCTGGAGGTCCTGGAGCTGTTGGAGGTGCTGGCACTAGAGGTTCTGGCGGTGGAGGTTCTGGAGCTACAGGAGGTACTGGAGCTGTTGGAGGTGCTGGCGCTGGAGGTGCTGGCGCTGGAGGTTCTGGAGCTACTGGAGGTCCTGGAGCTGTTGGAGGTGATGGCGCTGGAGGTGCTGGCGCTGGAGGTTCTGGAGCTACTGGAGGTCTTGGAGCTGTTGGAGGTGCTGGCGCTAGAGTCGCTGGAGCTGGAGGTTCTGGAGTTACTGGAGGTGTGCTGGCGCTGGAGGTGCTGGTGCAGGAGGTGCTGGACCTGCTGGTACTGGTGGCGCTGCCCAGCCGCGACTGTTCTTCGCTCCGCTGTCGCCTTCGTCTTTGACACCGCCTGACTCCGTGCTTCGCCAGGTTCTCCCGTCTTCTACTGGTCTTCCGTTACAGCCTGGCTCACAGCTGCCTGCTCCTTCTCCTTACACTGAGCAGACAGGAGGTCTTGCTGAGCGTCGTGAGCCTGCGTCTTGTCCTGTCTCGCCTGTCCGCACTGTCCGCACTGGTTGTCGTGTTCCTCGTGAGCGTCCGCCGGCTGTCCCCGGCACACACCTTATGGCCCTGCGTCCTTCCTCTGCTCCGCAGCGTGTTCCCCTGCCGTCCCCTCCTGCGTCTTCTCTGCCTGACGTTCCTGAGCCTGAGTCAGACCGCACTCGTGCTGCTCACCCTACTGTCACGCGTCTGCTAGCCACTGTTGTCACTGACCCGTCGTTTGAGTCTGCTGCTGCGTCTGCCTTAGTCGCTGAGCTTGTTGATTTTGCTGCTGCCTGTCGTCTAGACTACGCCGCTAGTCTTGTAGCTGAGTCTGAGTCTGTCTGTCCTCCGTCTGCCGGGGGTGAGTGTGCTCTTAGCACGAACGTCTTTGAGGACAGGCAGGAGGACCTTGAGTGTCTTGCAGCCGCTGCGCCTCATCTCGTCTCCATGCCGCTTGCCCCCGAGGGAGACCCGGATGCACCAGACATCCCGACCCCGCGCTCTTACGCTGAGGCGATCGCGAGTGAGTACTCCTCTCAGTGGCAGACAGCCATGGACGCAGAGATGGCATCCTGGAAGTCCACAGGCACTTACGTTGACGAGGTTCCCCCTCGTGGGGCGAACATCGTCAGTGGCATGTGGATTTTCAGGGTGAAGAGCCGCCAGGTTCTCCGCCTGTCTTCAAGGCTCGTTACGTTACTCGAGGTTTCAGTCAGCGAGAGGGAGTAGACTTCTTCCAGACCTTCTCCCCCACCCCGAAGATGACCACTCTTCGGGTGCTGCTGCACGTTGCCGCTCAGCGTGACTACGAGCTTCACTCTCTTGACTTCAGCACAGCTTTCTTACAGGGCAGCCTGCACGAGGAGATCTGGATGCGCCGCCCTCCTGGCTTCACTGGGTCGTTCCCTCCTGGTACCCAGTGGAGCCTCCGGCGGCCGGTCTACGGTCTCCGCCAGGCACCACGTGAGTGGCACGACACACTGAGGACTACACTTGCGGCTCTTGGGTTTGCTCCGTCGACTGCTGACCCGTCGTTGTTTCTGCGCAACGACACGTCGCTGCAGCCGTTCTACATCCTTGTGTACGTCGACGAATTGGTCTTTGCCACTGCTGACACTAAGGCTCTCGCCCTGGTGAAGTCGGAGCTGCAGAAGAGACACACGTGCACAGACCTGGGTGAGCTGCGCAGTTACCTTGGCTTGCGGATCACCTGGGACAGAGCACGCCGCACCATCACACTGACTCAGTCACACATGGTGCAGCAGGTCCTTCAGCGCTTCGGCTTCACCTGGTCCTCGCCACAGGCCACTCTTCTGGCCACAGGTCACTCGCTCTCAGCTCCACCTTCGGACGAGTCCATAGAGCCGAGTGGTCCTTACCCAGAGCTAGTGGGCTGCCTCATTTAACTGATGACCTGCACTCGTCCTGACCTTGCGTACCCTCTTGGCCTCCTGGCTCGCTACGTGGCTCCTGCTAGGCACCGAAAGGTGCACATGGATGCTGCTAAGAGGGTACTGCGCTACTTGTGCAGTACATCAGGCATGGGGCTCGTCCTTGGAGGACGGGGCCACGTTGTCCTCACTGGGCACTCGGACGCTTCTTGGGTTGACGACCTGGCTACGCAGCGGTCGTCACAGGGTTACACCTTCAGTCTTGGCTCTGGCTCTGTTTCTTGGCGGTCTATACGCTCGTCTTCTGTTCTCAGCTCCAGTTGTGAGGCTGAGATCTACGCCACAGCCATGGCTACACAGGAGTTACGTTGGCTCACCTATCTGCTGACCGACCTGGGAGAGCGACCTCGTTCTCCTCCAGTTCTGTACGTAGACAACAAGGCCGCCATTGCCTTGTGTCAGGAGCACAGACTGGAGCACAGAACGAAGCACATCGCTCTGCGTTACTTCCTGGCTCGAGAGTTGCAGCAGCGTGGTCAGCTTCGTCTTGCTCACGTGGCCACTCGGGCCAACACTGCTGATATATTCACCAAGGCACTTCCGTCTGGTGATCATCAGCGTTCTTGTATTTTGTTAGGTCTTGTGCCCACGTTTCCACACTTGCTGTAGACTTTGCTTGTACTGTGATGTATATATATACCTGCATGCTTGCTCTGCTAGGTAGAGATCACTGTGCTGTTGTTGTTGCATATATACCTCTGCATGTGAACTAGCCTTGTGGCCCTTTGCTTGTGCTCAGTGTGTGGTGACGTTGTGATCCACCCTGAGCTTGCTTTGCTTCTCTTGACTGGTCGTGTGACCCTTGCTCTCCCCCATTTTGCCTATGGGGGTGCGTCAAATTATATGTATGCTATATATGTTTAGGCTGTAGTGGGGTAGCCAATATGGGGTACAGCCTTTTTTAGAGTTTCATACTTGTACCCAACACTCTCCTAGTTGATTCATTCCTGCCTAGCATTTCAGACATCTACTATCCAGGCGATGACGGTACCGTATGTTAGAATAATGAATGCCTGAAAGGTGTGAGCATCAGTTGCCAGAACCAGAAGCACTGGACTGCCACTGGTGTTGTGTACAATAGGATACCTCCTACCGGTATGTATTTCGCCTCATATTTGAAGTGGAATGTGCTTGTTTCTAAGATTTTTGGTACTGCTGGCATCCATAACGTTATTTACATTATTCATTTTTACGTTATTTACATTATTTCCGGTAACAGTGCATCCAGACGTGCATTATTTCACTATGTGCCATGAAAATGAAGGCCTTTTTGGAAACTAATGCCTGACTGAAAAAAATAGGAAAGTACCAGGAAAAAAACCCTAAAGTGATCACCAAAACGACATCTTGTCATTTCTTGGTGAACAGGAAAGACCTGTGCCGTTGGCACAGGGGGGTACGCATCACTTGGTGATGATGAGGGGGCGCATCATGGAGTTGTCCTCGTGCTCCAGAATGTGGCAGTGCCACACGTACCCCGGCCCACGTGTGGCGTCGAAGGGGAAGGGCGTTCCGTCCTGCATGCATTGCACACCAGGATGGTCAATTGGCCAGTGGGCAAGACCAGGGCAGACAGTTGGTCAGTGCACAGCAGGGCAGTGAGTTGGCCAGTGCACAAGTAGCTACCCAAACAAGGAAGGGAGTGGACAGACTCACCTGGCAGTACCAGGGTGGGCTGGCTCACCTGGGAGTACCAGGCCGTCCAGAGGGCTCACCTGGGAGTACCAGGGCGTCCAGAGGGCTCACCTGGGAGTACCAGGGCGTCCAGAGGGCTCACCTGGGAGTACCAGGGCGTCCAGAGGGCTCACCTGGGAGTACCAGGGCGTCCAGAGGGCTCACCTGGGAGTACCAGGGCGTCCAGAGGGTGAGCACGGTGGCGGGCGGCAGGATGGTGGTGTCCTTCCACCCGCGCTCATACGCCGCCACTGGCTGCTGGGCGGCAGTGAAGCAGGAGGGCAGCGACGCGTTGGTGAAGGAGCAGGCGCCGCTGCTGTACGCGGCGAGGTCGAAGGGGCGGCGCCACAGCGGGCGGTGCTGAATGAGGTGCAGGTGGATGGGGTGCGCGTCGGGCGTGGTGTTGATCAGATGCCACAGCTCCTCCGTGTTCTGTCAGCACACCGGTGGGTGGGACACACAGCCAATGGAGGCGCAAGGAAGAAAAGAGAACAGGATGACCTCTCTGCTGAACAAACAATTGGGGCATACCGAAGCCAGCGAGATCGCATGGAGGAGAATCGGCACGTGTGCTAAGGGTGCCTGCCACGGCGTGTTCCCCTCCCTGGGGGTCTCAGTGGGCGAGGCACCCATGACTCAGCTCAGCCCCAGTGCCGGCTCACCTCCCGGGGCGTCTCAGTGGGCGGGGCGCTGTAGGGCAGGCCGCCCAGCAGCAGGCGGATGGGCAGCCCGGTGGCAGGGTCGCTCTCCTCCACAGCAGTGATCCACCGCTCCAGCACCACCTGGGATGTGTCCACGGGGGGCACCGGCTGGCGGGGCACAGAGAGAAGGGGAATGATTTCTGAGTCGACCAAAAATAGGCAGCCCGGTGGCGGGGTCGATTTATTCCACCAATGTGATCCACCTCTCCAGCACCACCTGGGATGTGTCCACGGGGGGGACTGGCTGGGGGGCGCGCAGAGAGGGGGGGGGAGGGGGAGAGGTGGCGAGAGAATGAGGCGCGGGGTACATGAGATGCATCAGCAACAGCCCCGTGTGCCATCATCGAGAGACGAACTCATTTACGGGTACAGAAACGCGGGCTACACAGAAACGAAATTCCAAGGAAGAAACGGCCCGAAGATGCTTCACCCAAGCAGGGGCGGGCGCACTCACAACGAGGGTGTTGGGGATGCGCGGGGCGGGCAGGCGGGCGCTGTGGTGGTCGACAATGAAGCGCATAACGACAGCCGTGTCGTTGGTCACTGGCTCGCCCGCAGGGAAGGGCGCCCGGGCGTCGTTGGTGAGGATGACGTCAGCACAGGAGGAGCGCAGCGAGGAGAAGTCGACCAGAATGTCGTACCGCTCCCCCGGCGCCACCAGCAGGGATGTGCGCACTGCCGGGCGAGGAAGGTATCCCCCGTCCGACCCGATCTGACCAGTGGTGGACGGAGGGGTTGGAGGGGGGGGGTGCAGGGGGAGTGGGCGGGAGGAGGGGCGCAAAGGGAACGAGATTGGCGAAATGCGGGGGTTGGTATGGAGTGGTGCAGAGTGGTGCGGGGTGGTGCAGAGTGGTGCGGAGTGGAGCAAAGTGGGTGCGGCGCAAGTGAGGCAAATCACATCCAGCACACACCACAATGATGGGCAGCTTGTCGCCAGAGAAGGGCGGAGTGAAGTGGGGGTAGTTGCGGGGGGTGGCGCAGACGAAGCGCAGATTGAAGAAGCGCGTGTTGGCCGCCCCCAACACCCGGAAGCGGTACAGCGCCCTCCTCACGCTCAGATACGGCCACACCTGCCATGCATGGCGTGCAGCAGGGTGGGAGAGAGCGAAAGGGAGAGGAGGGAGATGAAGGGGAGAGGAAGATAGGGGTCAGAGAACAGGCAGGCAGCATCTTCCCCGTGACAAAAGCAAAGATAGATGGGAGAAAAGGGAGCAAGCTAGGTTGAGAGTGGGAGTGGGAGTGGGAGTGGGAGTGGGAGTGGGAGTGTGGGAGCGAGATGAGCAGAGGGGTGAGGGCAGCACCTTGCCGGTGACGAGGATTTTGTCTCCGAGGTATTCGGGCACCCAGTGGGGGTGCACGCGCGGCACCACGCCCTGACTCGGGTAATCAATCGACCCATTAGCAAAGAACCTTCGGTCCGACAGCACCAGCGGCACGCAGAACTCCCCCTGGGGCAGCCACTGGAGGGTCCTCTCCACGCCACGCGGGTCCGTGAGGACGAAGAAGCCGGCGAGGCCAGCGGCGACGTTGAGGCGGGTGATGGCGACGGTGTGGTCGTGGTACCAGAGAGTGGTGGGCAGCTGGTGGTTGGGGTAGCGGTACAGGCGCGTGCGGAAGGCGCGCCCCACCTCGCTGTATTGGGTGAACCACGCCTCGGGATGCCCGTCTGAGAAGGACGCCTGCTCGCCCCCGTGCCGGTGCGTCACTGCAATGGGGGGGGGGGAGGGAGTAGAGCAGAGTGAGCAGAGGGGCGTGAGTGAGCAGAGGGGCGGGATGAGAAGAGGAGCAGGAGAGGAGAGGCAGCACGTGCACGGTGCACCAACTCTGCAGTGCAGTGGACTCACATGGGGAAGCGCGGCTCACCGATGGGAATGCCGCCCAGCAGCGGGCGGGGGACGTCGTCAAGTGTGTAGTCGACGGGGAACATGTGGTGGCGATCCGTCAGGTGGTTCTCCCAGTACACCTGCCACGCCCACCCGCGAGAACAGCACACAGTCCCGGTCAGCACAGTCAACATAATCCCGTGCAAACTCAGCACAGTCCCGCACACTTCCAATAGGCACAATAGTAGAACCCGCAGCAGAAACATGAGAGAGCAGCGGCGGGAGGGCGGGGAGGCGGGCGGGGAGGCGGCGGTACCTCGGTGGGCACGCCGCGCTGGGCGACGAGCGTGGGGCCGGGGTAGTGCGCGGTGGCGGCGCTGCGACCATACGCGTACAGCTTCGTGGGCGGCAGGTCGCGGTGCAGCTTCTGTAGCCGGACGAAGGGGAGTGGGGGGAGGGTGTGGGAGAGGCGTCAGGAAGGGGCGAGCGGAAGCGAGTTCGGGGAAGCCAGCGCGCGGGAAGCAAGTGCGGGAAAGCGAGGCAGAAAGGGGAGTAAGGGGAAGCGAGCAAGCGGAAATGCGTGCAGAAAGGCAAAGGGCGGAGGGTGAAGTTGGGGAACTGGCCTGGCGGATCTGGTAGGCGCCGATGCGGATGGGAGCGGCGGAGGAGGCGTCGATCTGCTCGGGAATGGAGTCGCGCAGATCGTCCACGAACTTGCACAGCCGCGGGAAGCTGCTCACGCACTCCCGCCCCACCAGATGCGACCCCGTTACAGTCACCAATGCGCCGACGCACGCGGCGACTGCTGCGAGCAGCAGCGCGAGACGGAGACGCGGCGGGAGAAGGGCGTGGCGAGGCATGGCGCGTGGTGGTGCGATTGAGGGCGCAGTGGGAAAGGAGCAGCGACGAACGGACGAGACGGACTGCGGCGGTGAGTGGCGCGGGCTGTACTCGCAGCAGGTCGGGCTGTTATCGAGTGATTGCGACGGTCGGTTGATTTGCAAGAAGCGAGCTCACCGAGAAGATTATATAGCTCGAACGGCACTGGGCCACCACGGTGCGGATTCGACAGAGTGCTTTCGCGATTCGACATATTGCTGTCGCGATTCGAGGCCAATATTGTTGGAAAACGTCCGGGCGTATTGAGACGGCTCAGTCAGACGGCGACGCGCATGCTGGCCTCTCGTGTGCCTTGGGATTGCTCCGGTGACAGCAAGCCGCCTCCGATACGTAAATTGCATACTCGCCGTCGATTAGGCTCCGGTGACACTCTGATCTGATCGACAGCCTCGCAAATTGCCATATCGACGTTGGATGGACTAGATTGACAGACTCTGATCCGATCGTCAGGGAATTCAGCGGCAGGCTGTGGGGCTGTCAGCCAAGAGAGCTCCGTGATGGCAGCCATTGTCCACCCGCCGACCCGTAGTGACTGACCGTGATTGCTCTGCCTATACGACTCATGCTCTCTCCTACACTCCAGGCGAAGTCAGGTTGCGTATTTACAGTTCTTGTAACGTGGCTCAGGACGGTTTCGCACGGTGGAAAGCGGTTGTCAATATTTACCGTTTCGCACCGTGACGAAACGAAGTGGACCGCAGTGTGCTTACAGAAGTTGTACGGCCTGACGTCGCCCTGAGCTGAGGATTTGATAAGGCGTTATGAGTCAGCTCCTGTACATGTACTACGCAGTAACCATGCAATACAGATTTTGCACTGTGTAGCTTTTAAAAACCACTAGCAGGAGGGTATCACTAGGATATGTTGTCTACCTGGAGCGTTGTTTCATGGGTCGCGTTAGCTTTCATGAAGTTAATTCATGATATAATCTGAACTGTCTTATAGGATCGTCTCAGGTTGATCGCACGGAGTGTAGCAGCGGAAGATTGCTAGGTAATGTCGGGTACGGACTCTGTCAATAGAAAGAGATTTGAATCGCGACAGAAGTGACTATAACAATGCGGTACAGGGGTTTATATAGGAATACAGTGGAATACGAAAGGTCCTAGCTAGCCATGTACTATGAGGGGGTACATTCCCCTTAGGGCTAATCTAGATGCCGCATCGCAACCGTGCGGTTTGGTAACCGTTTGAACTTTTCCCGCGCTTTGCACTTCAAATTCTTTCTGCTTGTGACTGTCTCGATAACTGTTTCGTCGCTTGGTCTTTCGTCCTCGCTGCAGTCATCTTCGCGTTAAGGATTTGTTACTCAGGGATGTTTAGTCAACTATTCCATATCGTAACACTCCCCTTCATTCCTGGAGGAGCGAAGTCTTGACGCGCTTGGTTATGCCGCAGATGTTTCCGCAGTGATGATACTGCTGACGTGGCAGCTTCTTGGTGAGGAAGTCGGCTGCCATGTCACCAGTGGAGCAGTAAGTCAGGATGACTTTGCCTTTGTCAACTTCGTCTTTGACGAAGAAGTAGCGGAGCGCGATGTGCTTGGTGCGGTTGACGAAGCCAGGCTTCTTCGCGATCTTTATCGCACTTTGGTTATCGCAGTGAAGTTTGAAGCTTGCGGATGTCGCAATTTTCGCCTCTTGAAGCAGCTCCTGAAGGTAGAGGCCTTCGCGAACAGCTGACGTGGTAGCGATGAACTCAGCTTCAGCAGAGGAGAGCGCCACCATTTCTTGCTTCTGAGAATTCCAGGAAATTGGTCCTGTAGGCTCAAGACGAAAGAGGAAGCCGGTTCGGGACCGTTGATTTGCAGGGTCGGCGGCATGATCTGCGTCCACGTAGCCGACGAGGCTGAAGGAGCGGGTCGTGAGGGTCGAATAGGTGAGGCCAATGTGCGGTGTGGAGATGAAGTATTGCAGAGCGCGCTGTAAATCCAGCATGTGCTCCCCTTCAGGCCGCTTGGCATACTAAGCGAGCTGGCTCGAAATGTAGGACAAGTCAGGCCTGCACGTGACTGCTGCGAAGAGAAGACAACCGAGCTGCTGCTGGTACCGTTGATGACCAGATGGGTTGAGAGGTGTGGTGTTGGGAAGATGTGTGGTGGCTGGGCTGCGGTAAGGAGTGGAGAGGTTGGCGGGTGTGATGTTGAACTTGGTTGCAAGTGTCTCAGCGTACTTGGAGGCGGAGAGGTGAATGGCGTCAGCGGAGTAGGAGATGTTGAGGCCCAGGAACTGGGTAACTTGGTCGGTGCTGGTGATTTCGACGTGGTTGCTGAGGTTCTTTTCAACTCAGCGAGGAGGTCGTTGCTGGTGCCGGTGTAGAGGAGATCATCGACGTACGCCGTGAGGAGGATGTAGTCGCCGTTGTAGTGAAGGCGGTACATTCCGGGATCGTGGGGCAGCTGAATGAAGCCGACGTCAAGCAGGATCTGGTGGAGGTACTGCTGCCAGAGGCGGGGGGCCTGCTTGATGCCGTAGAGTGATTTCCGGAGCTGACACACACGATCGTCGCCGTCGCCATAGGTGTGAGGCTGTTCGACGAAGATGAGAGCGTACACGGGGGCGTAGAGAAAAGCGTTTTTTACGTCGATTTGGCGGAGGGGAAGATGTTTTTGTGCGGCGATGGCAAGGAGGATGCGGACGGAGGTGTGAGGACTGACGGGGGCAAAGGTTTGATCAAAGTCAACGCCGTGTCGTTGGTCAAATCCGCGAACAACCCAACGGGCCTTGAAGCGCTCGATGGTGCCGTCAGCAGTTGTTTTGACACGGAACACCCATTTTCCTGAGAGGACGCGTCTCCCCTTCAAGACAGCTCGACCAGCGAGGACCCAGGTGTCACGAGCTTCAAGCGCGGCAACTTCAGCATCCATCGCAGCGCGCCATTCTTTCGCGTATGGTTCGGTGAGAGCCTGTCGTGGGGTTTTGGGTTCAATCGCCTTGGGTGGGCGGGGCACAGCGGTGTGGAGGCCGAGGACATGGAGGCCGGAGAGGCCGGGGCTGTGGCGCTGATCGCTGGTAACCTCCACCACGTCATCATCGGAGTCGTTGCCACTGGTGGGTGTGGGACTGAGGAGGGAGTCGCGAGAGGAGTCAAGAGGAGCTCCGTCTTCGTCCTCGTCCTCATCGCTCCAGGGGCGAGGACCAGGGTGGGGGTCAGTAGGATCCTGGTCTGCGAGGGCTGCGGCGGCTTCGTCTTCAGGCGTAGCGAAGCTGCGTGGCGGGCGCTCGTAATCCGCGATGTTATGCTCACCGCGGACACGATCGGCGTGGCGGTCGCACTGGAACTTGCGGAAAGAGATGTCCTCGTAAAAGATGACGTCGCGTGCTGCGACGATCTGGGAGGTGTCATAGTCGAGGATGTTCCAGGCGTGGTGCTCAAAGCTGATGCCGAGGTGAACTCCCGGGCGCGACGTTCAAACTTCCCCGTGGTCGCCGCGGCAGGTCGATACTGCACCATGCATCCCCAGACGCGGAGCATGGAGATGCTGCCTTGCTTGTTGTGAACTTGAGGTGAGGGGAGAGGTTGTCGGTGTTGGCGGTGGTGCTGAGCAGGTTGTGCAGACGGACAGCGTGATGCATGGCATAGGGCCAGTACTTCGCGTCGACGTCGCCCTGCTGCAGGGCGCGAACCTTGGTCATGAGGGTGCGGTTGGTGCGCTCCGCGACGCCTTGCTGGGGATGCGCATAAGGGAGGGAAAGCTTGTGCACGATGCCCTTCTCCTGGATGTAAGCCGCAAACTTGTCACTTTTGAATTCAGCTGCGCAGTCCGTTTGCCAGAGCTTGAGGGTGCAGCTGGACTGAGTCTCCGCGTTGGCGTGCCAGACCTTGAAGATATCAAACGCCTTACTCCTGTGCGAGACGTTGGCCACCCAGACGAAGCGGGAGTGAGCATCGACGAAGGTAAGAGTGTATTCTTCGCCGTTGAGTCCTGTTTTGGTGAGCACGAGAAAGTCGCTGCAGACTTTTTCGAGCCTTTCGTAGCGGTTGGTCCCAGGCTCAAGGAGCTTAAAGGGCTGATGTGTGAGAGCAGCTTCGGGGCAGATGTCGCAGTCACTGCGGCGAGTGGTGTCGACTGGGACTGGGGTACCGTCTGGGCGCAGAAGAGTTCCAGGAAGAAAGACCTCTGCGCGGATGCAATTGTTGAGGACTTCATGGGAGGGGTGACCGAGGCGCCGGTGCCAGAGATCAGGTTGAGCGCGCAGGGCAGGTGAGCGTATGTAGAAGGGGATGAGTTCAGCAACATCGCGTTCGGTGGGCCCTGGGATGGGCTGTGGTGAGATGGAGAGTCCAAGAGCCAGGATTAAGTCTCGAGCTGTTGGGGTTGGGGTGACTGTAGTAAAGGCTGTGAGTGGTGTTGGGGCATCATCCGTGGCTGCTGTTCCTTTTGGCATTTCAGGTCGTGGCATGTGATGTGGTGGTAAGGTGAATGTGGCTGGGGGGCTAGGAGCAGGTGAGTCTGAAGGGCCGATGGGGGTGGTTTCAGTGTGGAGTGGGCTGTGGGGATATGTGCGGTAAGGAAGGACGTGGTCGCGGTCAGTTGGAGGCCGCGAGTCCATGGAGTCTGGGGAGTCGTGTTGAGGGACGGGGATGGACCCCCAGGAATCAGTGTGTAGTGTGGTGCTTGGAGGTATTCCGAGGGGACGTGGAGAGCCGTATGGTCCTTGTGCTTCTGCTGCTGCTTCTGCTTCAGCGCGAGCGATTACGGCTTCGATGGGTTCTTCCTCCTCCATTGTTAAGGGGGGGGAGTCCCCTCATCCTGTTGCGCTTGTTCCGCCTCCCCATCCGCCAGTTGTTGCAGTTCTGCTTCCCCATCCACCAGTTGGTGCAGCTGTTGCAGCTGCTGCCGCCTTTGCCTCTTCTTCCGCTCGGCGTCGCCGTTCTTCTTCTTCATGATGCTGAAATTCCTCAGTGGTCATGGTGCGATGGGACCAAGGGTGCTGAACGTGGTAAGTTTCCCAGGTCA